ATAACTTGTAGTGTCATCGGATGACATAACTGTGTCGATGGAGTTATACACGAATATTTCGCTAGTTATTTTGTCCAAGATTTTTTTATTTACTTTTGAAACAGTCTCATTTTTTGGAGCCAGTATGGTTCTTTCACACAACCAATTTTCGTTATAAATATATTGTTGCAGATTCGGAAAAACTTGATCAATTAGTTCGTCTTCCGACTCCACAACATGACAAAATTGGTGTGTGAAAAGAACCATACCTTCTGGGTCGGTGTCCAGGCGGCCTTCACCAATTTCTAGGAGTTTTTGAGCATATGCTCCTGACTCGACATCGTGGAATAATTGAACTCGCATGTTAGTGGTAAGATAAAGCTTTTCAACTTTGGTCCACAGATATGATGTTTTTAGACATGCGCTAATTTCGTCTGCTGCAGTGCCTCTCTCGATAACAGGTAAAGTCTGTCTAAAATCCCCTGCCAATAAAACTACCACACCACCCATCAACTTTCGATTGCTTTGAATGTCTTGTAGACAGCGATCAAGCGCCTCGATGGCGCGTTTGTGTGACATAGTGCACTCGTCAGACACGATTAGCTTACATTGTTGCAACAGGGCACCGCGGGCACTGCTCTTACTGATGTTGCACATTGGGGTTTCTTCACTTGCCAGATTAAGAGGTAATTTAAAAACCGAGTGTGCCGTCCTTCCACCACTTAGTAATGTTGCAGCGATCCCAGAGGATGCCACAGCTAATGCCACATTACGGTCCTTACGAATTTTCGCTAGAAGCAAATTAAGCAAAAAAGTTTTACCTGTACCGCCCGGAGCATCAAGAAAAAAAAGGCCGCCTTCACCAAGCTCAACTCGTTGTGATATTTTGTCATAAATTTCTTGTTGCTCTGGCAGCAGGCGTGGCTCAGTTTCGCTGACCTAGGCATCTAATAAAGCGGTATTGTAGCTTAGTTCTTTAATCAAATCGGTCGACAGCTCTCCTCGTCGCTGTGGTGTGGGCATACCGAAATCGGACAATTTCTTTCCGGAAATCGTTATTATTTTGTCCTCTATAAGTGTCAGTGCTTCATTCAAACATAGATCATCGTTGACTTGATTCATCCTTTCAAATCTGTGCAAGATATCCTCTGATAACGCAGTTTTATACTTATCCCATAGTTGTAGAGGATTAGATAAACCGCAAGTGGTTATTAATAGTGCAAACAGCTCTCTTATTTGGGAAGGAGAACGACACAGCACGGCCTCTTCCATTGTGGCATCCCAGTGGTTGTCATCTTCCAACAACCCCAACTTCTCACACGCTTGTCGAAAAGTTTCAAGTTCTTGACCGTCAACTGTTTTTAGATCCAAGAAGTTAGTGGGGCCCTGTATTACATTCAGCAGCATTCGCAAACAGTAACATTCAAAGTTACTGACGTGCACTGTGTAAATGCGCCCAAGAGTATCTCCTGCCTTCACACCTGGCCAACCGTCGACAGGGGTTCCTTGTAAACGACGTTTCCATTCTTTTAACGACACGTTCCATGTATAGTAGCGGGGTACATCAACATAAAGTAATGTTTTTGCAAATGCGTCATTTTGGCAAAGCAGGAAAAATGCAGTTAGCGTCGTTTTAGGTGGTGCGGCCATTCTCTCTCTAAAATTGTTTTCAGTGAAGTAAATCCGCTCACCATTGGGCAGATGTACCGCAAGATGAGTGACTGCTGGGTATCTCTCATGCAGAGGCAAACCCAAGATCCGCCACGCTGCTTCGTTGCTACTAACATATCGACCGGCTCAAAATGTTTGCACCTCATCTCTCGGGTCAACATTAACATTCCCTTGCTGTCGGATGTTAAAAATAGCCTGGTCGCTGCCTTTATTAATATATTTACAAATATATTTTATCGCCTGTACCGTATTGCAGAACTCTACATTTATATGGCAATTAAAAATTTTAGAGAGCAGAGGAGAATATGGGACAATAAGATTGTGGCTTCCGTAATCAAGTGTCTCGTCGTACTCAAATGCAGCTTTGTCGAATACCCCCCACGTGTTTCTTCTGAATATTAGACGTCGCTGTTGTGCCCTTTCAGCAACAGCGCGTCTGCGAGATTCAGCTTCTTCAACGGTTTCTGTAGCTCTTTGTGACGCTATGTAAGTTGCCTGCTGAAGAAGCCGAGCGTGGGACTGTTTAGGTGTCTCAGCAGCCCGTTGAGATGCCAGATATTCAGCGTGGTGTTGACGTCGAGCTTGGGACTGTTCAGGTGTCTCAGCAGCCCGTTGAGATGCTAGATACTCAGCATGCTGTCGAAGGCGGTTTTGAGACTGTTCTGGTATCTCATCAGCTCGTTGAGATGCCAGATATTCAGCGTTCTGTTGACGTCGAGCTTGGGACTGTTCAGGTGTCTCAGCAGCCCGTTGAGATGCTAGATACTCAGCATGCTGCCGAAGGCGGTTTTGGGACTGTTCTGGTGTCTCGGCAGCCCGTCGAGATGCTAGATACTCAGCGTGCTGTCGACGCCGATCCTGGGACTGCTCTGGTGTCTGAGCAGCTCTGTGAGCTACCTCACGCTCCGCCTGTTCAAGCCTTCGCAGTTCGGCTTGTGGAAACGTCTCGTTAAGTCTAGCTACTTTCATAGATCGAGCTTTATTAGAGCTTTGGGAAAGATTAGACTTACGCTTTCGCGGCATAATTATTTCTTAGGAGGTACTTTTTCTACGATATTTTTATTTTTATACTTGAAAAATGCAAAACCTGCCTATTAAATCAAAATTATAGCTACATACTAATAATAGTATAAAAAATAATTGTAATTTGCTGATTGAAAAACAAAATCAAGCTTTCGTTGTATTATTATTATTTATGCCTATATTATTATTACTTATACCTATATACAATATATACTATAAAAATATTAATGGACGCCAAGAAAAAACAATTACCAACCTATGTACCTAATTAAAATAAAAACATCTGTGAAAAATGCAATATCTGCTTATTCAATTAAAATTATAGCTACTTACTAATTAATAGACAGGCAAAAAATAATTCTAATATTATTCTATTACTATATACACATTATCCTTACTTAATTACTATAAATGCAAATCGCTAGTGCCTTCAAAATTCGCAAAACGAACACAACCGTCAACAACGTCTGCCCTCACGCGTCTGCCCGCGTTCGGGTCGCGCACTCAGCGATGAGCGACTTCTCCTCCCACCTCACCGCGACCGACCCCGCTTCATTTGCCCGCCGCGCCGCCCGTCGGACCGTAACATACCATAGTATCGCGCGTTCGGTTTGTCATCGTCGTAACTATTAAAATATTTGTCCAAATGATGTATTGTGAAGGACAAAATTTATCTCCTTTAAATACCAAAAGCGATAAAAGTATTCATTTTGATAAGGATCCATTTATTACTACCAACTGTGCATTAGAAATAAATTATCAATTTTTATTGTATTTATGGTTCACTATTTTGACAATAATGGCTTACTCATAAAAGATATTTAAGATAAATATTTTCACCATACATTATATACATGTAGCACTAACTGTTTTTGCAGCACACGCCTGAATAGCTCGCAGATTGCAGAATTTTTTCAGACTTAAATGACATTTATCGTTATATTTTGGACAATTCACACAATATCTTTATAAATTATAGCCTATGTGTTATTCTGATCTATAAGCTACATTACTGTAAAGTTTCATTAAAATCCGTTTAGTAGTTTTTGCGTGAAAGAGGAACAAACATCCATCCATACATCCATCCAAACAAACTTTCGCCTTTATAATATTAGTAAGGATATGTCAAAATTGACATTTGTTGGACCTGCCTCAATACTACTCTTTTTTTTCTTTTCTTTTTCATTCCTCGCGCTTGTTTTCTGAATCTGATTCTGAACCAGCGTGCACTGTGGTCGTACCCTTTTCGTTCCAGCCTTGAGAGTAGGTTTGGTACGCAGGAAGAGGTGCGTTCGAGGTAATGGCTCATGTGTTGAAATGGAGAGAAAACGGAGTAATCCAATAATTTCTTCGTCCAAGATCCGTTCCATCGACCACAAATATCATTATTCGTCAAAAATAAATGCTTCGCTGGATTTCAATGTAAATATTTAAGCCCAAGCCGTATGGATGGGCTTAGTAGCCTTTAACTTCCCTTGAGAGAAGAATTTCACCTAAATTATTATAATACAAAATGGGTTTTTTGGCGGGATTTCATCGAGTGTGGTTGGCGTCTTATTTTAATTATTCTTAAATTCGTTAAATAGTGGATATTGTGAAATAAAATTGGTGTGATTTTGTGTTACAACTGTCTGCGTAACTGAAGAATTAGTAGAAACGTCAAAATATACGCTATTCTGGTCAAGTGGACGTGAGAATTTTATTGTAGTATTGACTACCTCACAGAAGCTTATCGAAAAAGCCAGCTCGATACATTTCGTGCCAAAGACTTCAAGAAATATTAGAATGCGTCACACCGATATTCTAATGTAAAAAGAAGAACAGAATAATTTAACTTAAGACTAGGCTGTATGGGCATTGTTCCCCTTGCCTTCCCTGAAAAGGGAGAACTTGACCAAAAAAAAAAAAATAAGGGGTTTTTTGGCGGGATTTCATCGAGTGTGGTTGGTGTCTCCTTTTAATTATTCTTAAATTCGTTCATAGTGGATATTGTGAAATAAAATTGGTGTGGTTTTGTGTAACAACTGTCTGCGTAACTGAAGAATTAGTGGAATCGTTAAAATATACGCTATTCCGGTCAAGTGGACGTGAGAATTTTATTGTAGTGTTGACTACCTCACAGAAGCTTATCTAAAAAGCCAACTCGATACATTTCGTGCCAAACACTCCAAGAAACATTAGAATGCGTCGCACCGACATTCTAATGTAAAAACAAAAAGAAGATTAATTTAATTAAAGACCAGGCTGTATGGGCATTGTTCCCTTTGCCTTCCCTAAAACGGGAGAACTTCAACAAAAAAAAAAAAAAAAAAAATAGAAAATGTCAACTTTTTACAAGTCCAGGAGCCACGACGGGCAGAGCGCGCGACGGGACTTGGTTGTAAAGTTAAAATTTAAACTTTGCAACACCAGCGAACGCTACTTCTATTTTTAGTTTGTGTATTGTATAGTCTTAAAAAATATTACATCTTCCTTATATTAATCTCTATAAAGAAAAGTCTGTTTCTGTTTAACATCATCTTATTGGACTAGATAGAATGGATCCTTTCATCATAGCAGCGATTATCAGTGCCATAGTAATAATTATACTATCTGTTGCATTTTTAAAAGTATCACAAGTTAAACCTCAAGGTATTAATTATATTTTTATTGCTGTAAAACGATCTGTAAACAATGTCAAATAACTTTCAAATTTAATGCAGCTGCAGCGAGACCCCGTGCTGTTGTTCAAAGAGATGGAGGACCAGGCAGAGTGCAAGCTGTTAGAAACCAAAGGGCACGGATGAGAGCAAATGGTTAGTTGTGTTAAAATTTATAACAAGTGAAAGTTTATTTAAATAATGTAGCTGCAATACACAATGATGGCTAGCCGTTTACGTTAATAAATATCAAAATGTGTAATATTTAATCACTATTTAGAACATAACACACATTCTTTCTCAACTCCTTTCAATTGCCATTAAAACAAAAAGCACAGACAATAATGTATATAACATTCAAATGAAGTACATTTTTTTATTAGCAACTATTTAAGAAACAAAAAGATTCCAGTTGAAAATTGTAGACTTAGAATAGAACTTATTATTTCTGCTTGCAGCTGCTCGTCATCAGGCTGCTTTAGAAGAAGAACCTGAGGTACCTAATGAAGTTGAAAACGAAGAAGTCCCAGAATCATCCACCAAAGTGGAATTTGATGATAAAATGGGAGCTAAGGTAAAAAAATTCATGTGTTCACATAAAAGCAAATGAATCCAAATATATTAGCCTTTTTATATGTGTTAAAATAAGTATGAGGTTCTGTATTCATTTTTTAATAATAATTTTATCTTGAAATAAGATATTTATCAATATAGAATAAAAACAAAAAATTAAATATTCTGTAATATTCTCTACAGAAAAGAGCTAAGCTAGAAGCTAAGTTAGAAAAGCAAAAAGCTAGAGAAGCGGAGATACAAATGCGTGAAATGAAGAAGAAAAGAGATGAAGAACTTGAGGAAGAGAGGAGGAAAGTAGAAGAAAAACAAGAGGTAATAAAATATTTTAACGCACAATTATATACTAATGTTTTTAAACTTCCGTGTGAAAGCCTCCATTCAGCAGTTAAAATGTCAAAAGGTACAGATATACAGACTTATGTATTTATAATATTAGTATGGAAAAAAAGTACTTTAATATATTAATTTCTGATTATCTATCTTTATTGGTCTTAATTAAGTTATTTTAAGTTTTTACCATACACCATGTATTGTACTATCTAAAAAAATTACTTACATTATTTAAGTATTTACTATTTTTTTTATAGATAGGTCCGACAAATGACCTTCGCCCCACCTGATGTTAAGTGATGGTGAAGTCCAGATGTGAAAATAGCTGATACAGCCGTTCTACCTGCCACACCAGCTATCTTCACCTTGCCGGCGTGCATGTTGCTTCTTCACGCCTCTTTTAAAGAATCCCAGTTGTAAGAAGGAGGGAACACGTGAGCAGGCAGAGCTTTCCATTTACGGATAGTGCAACAAAGAAATGAGTCACCAAATATCTTTGTATGCGTTGGAATTGTGGCCACAGTTAGATGGTGACACCGAAGGCCAGCGCTCGTGGTCTTCTGAAAGGGGAAGGTGGAATAAGAGAGAATAACTGTTCAGAACACTCGCCGTGGTACAAACGATAGAACGCGCTTAGTGACGCCACGTCACGGCGTAATTGAAGAGGCTCGAGGTGTTTAGTTACCTCCTCATCGCCTATAATGCGGATCGCACGAAGCTGTAACCTATCTAAAGCATAATAACTATGGGTACGGCCAGAGTGCACTCAGATTCAGATTCAGACTCAGAAAACAAGCGCGAGAAATATACAGTGTAGTTTAAGCAGGTTGCCTGCGGCCACTATGGCCACCCTGCTTTAACTACACTGTTTATTTCTCGCGATTGTTTTCGGAATCTGAATCTGAGTGCACTCTGGCCGTACCCTATGATAACATTCTGATTTTTGGTGCTCGAACATCAGTATCAGTATTTTTTGTGATAGTTGGATACTAATTTAGTGTTAACATAAGGTTATTAAAAATATTGTATATTCAAATCCTATAGTGCTTTTTATAGCTTAGATTTAAAATATAAACAAAAAGCATATCTTTTACTCCTGGGGCTGGGGTAGGGAGTATGGTTGCCATCTGTCCTCCATTATGATATGTTTGGATTTTTATGTTGTGTCTGGCCAAATGTTTAGTTATGCGTCCAGGGCAATAATATTGAATACCTTAGCTACAACAACACAAACATCGTGGCCGAAACCTGTCGAAAAATTACATTGGACGTTCCACAGACTTGCCTAAGATGATTGCTTAGTCAAAAATAATATTAGGCATTATTTAAACTTTGAAATTCACATTTAATTCATACGGAATAAGGTCTTAATTAAAACGCACGCATTAAAGAGTTATGACAGTTCGAAATGCAAGCTTGCAAGTAATATTTTACGACTTATTGTTATATGTATAGACCTTATTTCATTGAGTCTACGCGCATTGAGAATTGCGAGTAAGCAATATAGCAGGTGCGGACTGTGAGGAAAAGAGACGACTATATAACCGACCATACATTTGATTAACATATAGATATTTTCTATGAAATCAGTTTATAGTAAGTATTAAAACAAATTTGTTTCAAATGCGTTGAATTAACAATACTATGTACTATAAGTATTTTTTTCACGGAGCTCTGCGGCATCTTGACTATTCGCGTTCGCAGTCACGCGTGACTGTGAACCAAGAAGTGCTTCAGTGGTGTTCAAGCACTTCTTGATTGGGACACATTTTGAGCGCACATGGTGTATCTAGGGTATTTAATATTGTTGGTGGTAGGAGGGTAAGTCTTACCCCTCCTCACCCCTTGTTCAAAAATCAAAATCGTTGGTCGTTATGCTTAATTTGATCCTGAAACAGTGCTTTGCAAATGCTTCATTTTTAACACTAGCATAAACACTTTTACATCCATTTATTTTGAGTAAAAAACAAAAAGTAGGAAACGTATAACAGAATCATAGTTTTTTCATTACATACTTGCAATTTCTGCTATTTAAGGAACCCTTTCACAGCACCCTTTTCTAATTATTCATACAAATTAATTAAAAAAATCATTACTTTTCTATCACTTTTCGTTTACTGTATATAACTTGATATTATTTCTTTAATAAGCTTGTAAAATATTTTTTTTAACAGGAAGAAGAACGTCAACGTCAGGAGGCTGAGAAAAAAGCGGAGGAAGAGCGTAAACGTCGCGAACAAGAAGAATATGAGGCAATGAAGGCTGCATTTTCAGTTGAGAGTGAAGGTTTTGAAGAGAATGATGAACAAGATAAAGAGAGTTTGCTCCGTGACTTTATTGAATACATCAAGGTGAGAACATTATTACTGACAGACATGACATTTATGATAACACGAGATTGAGAAGAAATTGATTCATCTTATTCGGCAAATTTTATTGTGCCCTATATCTTTTTTTATTTAAAAAGCGTGGCATATAAGCTTATGGTAAGCGAACGCCATAGGCCGCCATATGTAAATGCTTGCGATACCTAAGTAAAACATGCTCCAAAGGCTTCCCTCAATATAACCCCATGCGGCCATAATAGAGCCTTGGAACTTTATCTTTTTGGCAACATTGTTTCTATCAGAATTCATCAGGTTACTAGTTAATATACTATGTTCTCCTGTAATGTGGAGGTTAAATCCCGAGACGGGCGCTCGAATACATGTGGAAAGTTCACTACACCCCAATACATTAGTAATAAATTTATTTTTTTTATATTTACATGGCCGCAGTTTAATTGTAGTACTAATAAATATTGCATCATGGTTAGTGAACCGTGGTCTGTAGTGACAGCAAGGGTTCCGCAAACTTGGCCTACATACCCCTGTTAAAGTTCGCAGATGACAGAGAACCTCTAAATCCAACTTTATTGTCATCCATCCAAACTAGCAAATGGCAACCACACTGCATAATCCTGCTATAGACATAGGTATATACTGCTATCACATTTATTTTGGTAAATATGTATGTGAAGGGTCTGCATTAGGCCTCTTGTAAAGGCAGTTATTTAACTTCATACCAAACCGGTGCGATATACATACATGTTCTTTTTATCAATGTTTACTTGACAATGATAAGCACCAGCCCGGTGTCAGGTAAAATCTATGGCCTTACTAGCATATCCCTAAAGCTTTCATTGTTTTTTCGTTTCTTTTAAACAGGCTCAAAAAGTAGTGCTGTTAGAAGATTTAGCTGGACATTTTAAACTCAAGACTCAAGCAGCCATAGACAGGATTACAGATCTGCAGACTTCTGGTGAACTAACTGGTGTTATTGATGACAGAGGGAAGTTCATCTACATATCACAAAAAGAGCTAGAAGATGTAGCGAAATTTATAAAACAAAGAGGACGCGTGTCCATTACGGATCTAGCTGAAAGTAGTAATGAATTGATCAACCTAAATCCTGTTACTGTAACATAGTAAGTGAATAAGTAAAAGGATACTGAAATGTTAAGTACATTGTAAATTATTAAGAAATGTTTTTACAAGAAAAATTAAATGTTTATTTAAAAATCAATAATGAACAAGTACAATTTAATCATCACTTATTTCATAACCAAACATATCCCTTCCCTTCTCCAATAGTAAAAGAGAAGATTCTTTCAGCCTGTCCAGTACCTCTAAAAACTTAGACTTAGTGAACACTTTGTAGAGACACCTGTTTTCACCAGCAATCAAATTGCTCAATTTGAGAGCTTCTTTATGACTTTCTATATCATCATTACTTTGTAGAATTTTTAATAACAGTATTGACACTTCTGGAATACAAAGACGTCTCAATGTTTCTAATTGCTTTGTTCTATCTTGCTTTTCATCTTGACTAAAATTATTTGATGAAGTGCTATCATTTTCATCTTGCAACCACCCTCCAGGGAATAATAGCACATTGTAAAGCAGATTTTTCGTGTGACGTGATTGGTGTTGCACTGCATTTAACCAACGGGCTTTTTGCTCCTCTACTTTAGCACACCTTTGTTCATGATGAACCTTATCAGAAAATGACGCATCAGGGGGTAATGGCTCTACATCTTTGGGTTGTCCACTTATAAAATGTCTATACCAAGTGGCAAAGCTCTCAATAGACTCTAAATAAGCTTTTAAACACAAGTGTTCCCGCAATTCAGATGAATTTGTTTGAACTTTATTAACAAAATCTGGGAACATTTGATTAATGTTAATGATACAAGCTAGGGCAGCATCAGTGTTTCCTATAAATATGAATGTTCGGATCATAGCATTGCTTAACCAAAGTGCTTCCTCCAATTGATTGGCAATCAAGGACAACCATTCTAGAGATGAAATAACCTTTGCTATCAAGGCCTTATCTTTTTCAACTGCAGTAGTTTGGGTGAATGTTAAATCCAAATTGCCATAACCTTGTTGAATATCAGTTATTGCTTTCTTAATTGCTACTCTAGCAGATGCTGCTACATCTATTCCAGCACTAACTCCTGCCTTAACAACACCATCTCTGTACTGACTTTTATGTATGTGGTCCATCAATTCAGCATATAAAACAATTTGACGTTCAATGGGCACCGTTGAAGTGTAGTATGCAATTAGTTCAGGACATTCAATAGAACCATCAATATGTCGTTCAATAAGTTGTGTCACATATTTTTCCAAAATAGTATCCCCAACATCATGCTGGGGATCTTTACCCATCTGTCTCAAAATTATAATCAAATGAGCCAAGAATCTAATAAATCTTTCTTCAGAAATGTCAAGCCATTGTAGTGATTCTTGCATAATTGCTCGTATATTGCCCAGCATGAGATGTCTCTGGCAAGTTTGATAACATGATTCCTTTTTGCCATCCATCAATGATTTAACAGCACTGAACACTTGTTGCAGAGACAATTCTTCAACCCGAAGGTCAGTTTGTAACATATCCAGTACCTCTGGTAATGTTGTGTTAGCTTCCACTGTGGCATGGTGTTCATGTAGGAATTTATCGACTCTGGCTTCTATCTGTACTCTTAAATGAGCCCATAATAAGTCTTCCCAATTACTCTGGCATGCAGGAACAGCACTTGCTAAATGACCACATAAAATTCCAACAGCTGCTCTATAATGGGTATTTTCAGTGGCATTACTTGAAATCCCAAGAGCACACCATTTCCACAAATCTCTAGATGGGTTCCCTGATATTTCTAAAGGAGCATTCACATCTTCTCTTGGTAAGTAGTGAAGTAATGCCCATCCTTGTAATACAGCCGCACGCCATGCTTGTCCTGCACTAATGCACAAAGAAACTGCTTCTTTGAATTTACCACAACGAACCTCTGTGAATATTCTTTTGCACAAATCTATGTCATCTTTATGATCATCTGAATGTATTGACTTTTTTTGACGTCTTGGGGCGTCTGGGTCCATGCATGTGATCATAGCTTTATTTTTCTCTTTATTGAATAAACTAGAACCAATTAATAGTTGATGAAGAGTATTACCCCAATGCATGTTGTTACCAATAACTGGAGCAGATGTTTTAGTGGCTTCTTCTTGATATGCAGCTGTAGCTTCCAACCAATCTACCAACAGCTGTAAAAGCCTTAATTCAGAATCACTTTGAAATAAAGCTTTGACCAAAGTTTGCTGGGATAGACTATTTTCTGTAATCAAACTGTCAAACGATTCAGGGTGCTCTGTTATTGAATCAGCATACAAACAGTGAAGTAGTTTCCAAGTATTTGCCTCCTCTGCAAGCCAATAATTTTGGGCATTATATCTGTTCCACGGTTCCACTAATTCGAGAGAGTCGCAACAAACTTGACCTAACCTAGCCAATGTGTCCAAAACATTACTGGTACGGCCAGACTGTATTATTTCAAAAAACGCTTCACACAGCCCTTCACCGGCGTTTCCCGAACTCACCAATACTGAAGCTTCGTCTAAAACTTGCCTTAAACTTGTATCGTTGAAAGTGTTAAAAATAGACGTTTCATTGAGTATCGGCGAAAGGTTTAACGTATCTTCTTTTTGTAATAATTGCCGGTTTCTTTTATTTCTAATAGGTGTATGTTGAGTTGAATGTAATAATAAACTCTTGTCGTAATTCATTGTTCACAATAGTTATAAATAACGTACTTTATTTCAATGAAATTTTTACGGAAATTCAACTGGCTTGGCATTTGCTGGAGGGGCAGTTCTGGTCTACGTTCAGAACCTTCACTACGCTCCAGGTGCAAGAAAAGTCAATTTTGACATTAACTTCATACAATATTTAGTTCCAAATTGGATCGCGTTAGTAAAAAGTTGCATGTGGAGCGTAGGTTTTGAACGTTCGCTTGGGTCTATGTAATGTAACTTTTTTATTAATCGTCTTGGACTAGCTAAGGTTTGGGACCATACTGCCTCGATACATTGACTCACTTTACAAACCGAGCTGCTAAAACTATTCATCATAATTTTGTCGTTAAAGCCGTCTGCACAACTGAAGGAAGGAATCTTTAAAATATATGCTATTCCCGTCAAGTGAATGTGAGAACTTTACTTAAGTGTTCACTACACATTTCGTGCCAAATAATCCAAGAAGAAGAGGAAGAAGAAACATTGAAATACGTCATACCCACACACAATACATTGTAATGTAAAAAAAGAAATTATTTAAACGATGGCTGTTTGACTTTTGCTTTGCATTTCACAATAGAGAAGAAGGCTGAAGAACTTTGAATCATATTGGTTTGTTGTTGTGATTGATTTCATTCTTTATTCTATTCTAACCAAAGTAGATAACAAACTAAGAAATGAAGAATGAATACCGAAGATGTTTTATCACAGTAGGTACAACAAGGTTTGACCTTCTTGTTGATACTTTGATGACAGCTCCTGTATTGAATTCTTTGAAGAAAATGGGTTGTAAAATGATAACCTTTCAAATTGGCAATAGCAACTTCCAGCCAGGTATCTATGATAAAGAAGGTATACAGATTAATGTTTTCAGATTTAAGGACTCTATCTTAGAAGACATTAAGAGTGCAGACTTGGTTATAAGTCATGCTGGGGCTGGAAGTTGCCTTGAAACCTTGGAAGCTGGTAAACCCCTTCTAGTAGTTGTTAATGAAGAATTAATGGATAACCATCAATTAGAATTGGCTGAGCAACTGCAAGTAGATGGACATTTATATTATTGCACTTGTGCAACATTAGAAACCACTCTGGAAATGCTAGATTTTAATATGTTGAAACCATTTCCCAAACCAAACCAGACAATGTTCTTAAAATATTTAGATACTGCATTACAAGTAAAGGCAAAATCTAGCTGAATGTGACAGTTTAATCCTACTAATAATATAAGTGTGAGTATGTTACTCAAAACCTATGTTGCACAACTACTAAACAGATTTGGATGAATTTGGTATGCATATAGTTAATGACATGGATTGAAACAGTATATTTTCAGGAAAGTTAATGCAAACTAAGTCGCAGGCAGCCATTAGTTATAGTTATAAATGACTTTCTTATTTATGGTTTGATTGTGAGTGCTACTGAATGAATAGATGATTGTTTTGTCAGTGGGCCTCTCAATAACACATCCACAGTATCAGCACTATCACTATTGGCAGTAACACAACCTCAAATCACTATTTACTTTAGTTTTTCAGGGCGGTTTCCGCACTTAGTCCTAATCATTGGACCATTGTGCGTGTCTTGAAACATTCCCGTTTACTCCAGCCAGCCTAGGTTAGTCCAGAAGGAAAGCAGTCTTGACAGACTGCTGCAAGCTTCCGGAAGCGATGCGGGTGACTGGAGAAGTCGTGCCCGTTGGTCGGCCACACTCCTGCATTCCATAATGACATGTTGTGGCATTTCCTCTGCCTCCATACATCCTCTGCATAGGGGGCTGTCTGTTACTCCTAATGTGTATAGGTGCTTGTTCAGGGGACAGTGACCAGTCAGGGTTCCCATAACTATGCGGGGTTTGTCCCTATTAAGTCTAGTAAGGGTGCGGGCAAGTCTCTTGTTTGCCTCCGGAACTGCATTTTTCGTTTGCCGGCATCCTTCACCTGTTTTCCCACTCAGTCAATTGTAGTTTCTGAGTTCTTTCACGCAGCCACGTCTTAATTTGGGCCTGAGGTATGTATGGGCAGAAGAGGTTCCGGACCATACACTTTTGTGTCTGCTCCTATTACTCTAAATCACTATTTGTAACTAATTCTGTCTCCACTGAGACATAAAGAGTTAACAGTTGACGTTGTCACATTCCTTTTAGTTGTAATGGAATTGTTAACATGTTTAATATTGTTTCATAATGTTATGTTTTCTATCAATCTCAATGTTATTCAAAGTAAACATAGTTTGTATCAATTATTTATGATTTTAATAAATGTTGAATGAATAATTATATTTTTATTGAATGTACAATATCTAGTGGCTAGTATAAAAGTAAAAAGAAAATATCATATCTGTTTATTTTATTTCAAAATATTCACAACAAAAATATTTTAAAGAGAGTTCATTTGAATAAAAATCACTTGGTTTTCGATAAAATTACAAAATTATGATAAATAAACACTATAAGTTAACTTTAACTTCATTTAAACTAATTTCTTTGCCTCAAAGAAGCTCTTGAGATGCCTCATCTGCCAGTAACCAATTCCCATGAGAACTGCAATCTGTAAAAGACTCCACCAGAGTACTCTTTGATTTGTGCTCTCTGATGTCTGTCGGAAGCGTTCCTCACGATGCTGTTGAGTAAAAAGGAAAAAATTACCTACAGTAAGAATACTTTGACTCAATGGTGCAGATAGTGCATTAGGACGGAGTATGTGACAGTTAAGCAACTTTCACAAGGTCATTGGATGGGTGACCCAAAACTGTATCTCAATCTCCCCTGCGCTTCGGAAGGCACATTAGGAGATTTCGGCTGCATGTACAGTTGTTAACACCCACAAATCCAGACTAGGCACGTTTGGTGGGTCACAGCCCAGTCTCCCTATTCCATCAATGGGAAAGGCCTCTGCCCCTGCAGTGGGGACATTAATAGGCTAATAAAGATGAAAAATAATTTATAAATAGATATTACAAATAGATTCAATCAGCAACCTTTAGAGCAAATACCCCACTCACTTTTGACAGACTGGCTTTAAATATACACTTTTTGGGTAAAAAAAACCCATAAAGAACCTGAAGTAACAATATTCTATCGAAGTCCATAAACTATTTTGATAATATTACCCTTTGATAGCTTTGTTCTTTGGTAATCTGGTGCACTTGGTCCAATAGCTGACGAATTCTGAGCTGTAATTCTGTCAACTTGTCTTTCTGGGCCACATTTGCATAGTCTATTGCGTGCTCACCAACTTGAATGTCCAAGTGAACCTGAAATTCATCATTTACAAATGCTTATCACATATCTATTTGTATTAATGTAATCTGTGGGCATTAAGATGATACCTCTTATAAAACTATCTCAGTACTAATGTCAGATAATTTTTAATTTAACAGTTGACTGGGTGTCCCAGTCCACCAAAAATAGAAAATCATCATATCAGCCGTACGACGCCCACTGCTGGACATAGGCTAGAAAATAATTAAAATTATTTTTTATTGAAGTTCATTCATAGATTACTTACTCTGAGTTGTGATCCACTAAACCAAGATGTACTATTTGTGTACATGCAGATTACGTGTTCACCAGAGACGTGGGATGTGAAAGATATCATTCCTTCAGAAGAGTAAACACGGGACAAAACAACGCGATCATTGCTGTCCCGCACTTCCACGTGCATGCCGATACCTGGCGTTGAAGGCATAAACCCTCCAGACCGAGGGTCATACAATTCCACTTTATAGTTAACTAGAAACAACAAATATAGGTATAAGATATTAGAAAAAGAGTTACCCTGCTATTAAGTAAAGACAATATTTATAAATGTTTAACAAACTTAACACCGGTTAGTCAATATCTTTCGTTTTCTGTAAAACAATGCCATGTACCTCGACTTACCAATAACAGTAGTGTCATCTGGTATTTCTTCAATAAAACATTTTCGCTCCCCTTCTGCTATGTGGAAATATAAAGCTGAAGAGATATCTATTAGCAAAAATAATGGTAAAATCGATAAAAGCTTGAACATTTCCATAATTTCGAGGCTATACTACGAAATTCGGCTTTCGATTCGACAAGTTAGATGACAGGACACACGTCAGTCACGTCACCCTAACCTTTTTTGTTTTTTTTTTGGTTAATTTGACTGTTCGGAATGCAAAGATAAAACAAAACATACATTTTTTTATTTCAGAAAGAAAAAAAGTCTAGTGCATTTTTTCGTTTACAAAAATCTACTCAAATCGCTTGTATGTATAAATTTAATAACGCACATACCGCCAAGCACTAACCGCGGCGTGTGGCGGCAGTGTTACTAGAAAGCCATTTCCCCTGACCCCCAAGACTTACCCGAAATCCCCCCAAAATACAGGGTTTAAAAGCAAAAACCCCCAACATACAAAATATTTATTAAAAATACAATATTTACTACAAAATAATGTATTTTTGCAATACCATCCATTACTGCAGTGTTGCCAGGGTCTGATTTTTATTTGGTGAATCAAATCAAGATATAGGCCAGTAACGAATGTGTTTCTGTAGCTTCTGTCACACCTCAAAGCTGGTTTTTAGTTTTAGACAATAACATTTATTTCAGATTAAGGTTACTTACATTCTTAATGGCGGAAATCGCAACTCAACATGCAATTTAAAAAAGAAGATTTTCTTTCTAAGAAAAATAAATTCGTATTCTAAGAAAAACAGTAGATTTATGTAGAAAACAGACGAACGGGAGAACTTTCAGAAAAACAGGAGATCTGTAAAATATGCGTTACTAAATCAACATCTTCGCACTCGTCGTCTTTCTCACTCCTTAAGCCAGAAACATATTCGATCGACACGACATGACACGTAAATATTAATATATTTCTGGCTTTAATCTTGTTACATAACTTTGTTTTGATAGTGCAGTGCCAGGTGCAAACAATTAAAAGGAAAAATTGACAAATTACGATTTAGCACCAAAGTAGTGTCGAATCGATTTACAGTTTAAGCTAACGACCATTAACGACTAACTGACTTACTTGACTTAATATGGACTTGACTGACCGAGCGACTGAGCTAGCCGGAATGGACTGAAGAGTACGTTTTTAGGTGGGCTTTAGATTTAGGGGTCCGAATCGGGCTCACTAAATGAACACAGTCCGATTCTTGCATAATTTTCTAAGCATAATAAAATTTAATTTGACAACAGTCTAGATCCTTGTCATTTTCTATACCGAATGAGAAAGAGAGACTGTTGATTGACTGTTGATCGAGACTTTTTACAGATTAAATGTTTATGAAGTGGTATTATTTTTACATAAAAAATGGAATTAAAAACCCCCCATTTCCCCCAAACCCAAATTGCGTCCCCCTATAAATTCCCCCAAAAATGTTTTCCACCCAAGAAGAAGAAAATATTTTACTTCTTCATGTAACTTTGTAATGGTAAAAGAATTTTTAAATTCAGTTTACTAGTTATCGGGAACAAATAAACATATAATATTATTATAGATTAACTACTGCACCGTGAGCACACTGGTGTGGCAGGTAGAACTGCTGTATCAGCTATCTTCGCGTCTGGACTTCACCTTCACTTAACATCAGGTGAGGTGGAGTCATTTGTCGGACCTATCTATATATAAAAAAAAAAAACAGAATTCTGTTTAGTAAGGAGCAAAGATATTTCAACAATTGGGACCCATAAGCAATATTACAATGGATCAAATTTTTCCAATACTTGGTCCCGAATGTAAAAGTACCGTTGTTCTTTACTTGACTAGATTCTAGACTTTGTTTTTTTTTTCTTTATTTTTCATTTGTATATACTTTTAATAAGGCGGGGTTTTGTTTTTCAAATAAAGCTAATATGAGTATTTTTAGAATTTATATTTTAAGGTGGAGCTGATTACGAATACTTCATTTGTCCCGAGATGTGTTTTATTATTATCACGATTATTATTAATGTTTCATATTTTGGAACTCTGCAGTTGTAGACTGTAGACACTGCATAAGATATATTTTGTGACTCGCCATTACGTTAAAGTTCTTATCTGTTTTAGGCAGATAGCTTCTAAGGCTCCAAGTTTATAGAGGTTTAATTTCCTCTAGTCGTAATAGAGTCGTCCCCGATGAATAGATAGTACATTTGTGGATAACAATAAAATAAGCTACTGCATATAAAAGATACTGTGTTTTAAATACTCTAAGAACTAAAAATAATAAATAATAAGTTAAGATAAAAATCCTAAAATTTCCATCAATGCAGAATCTAAATAATATATTTTATTATCTCTTGGACTATAGGTAAAGAAAACCGAATTGTTGTCTTGAACGTTTGTTTATCAAATAAAGCTTTTTTTTTTATGTTATAGGGGGCATACGAGCAGACGGCTCACCTGATAATAATAATAATAATAATAAATAATAAATTTTTATTTTCTCATACCACAATCTAAATAAAACTTACATGAAGCAATGGTACAATGTTGCAGACTGTGGTGGGCTGATACCTGAACTAGGAAAAATCCTGTATCCCAGGTTATCAACCCTCCACCCCAAACAATGGTCAGAAAACTTACAAATTGTATGCACTTAGTGAGACACTTTATAAATAATCATGATGGGAAGTTTTGACACACACTATTCATATAAAGAAGTTAAATTCTAAATAAATAATACATTTAGGACATTTTATAGTTTAAGATTGCAATGCCAATACAGGATTATTTATCAACTTTTAATATTTTTTCTGTCGCAAGATAATCAAAAGATTTTAATTTTTCTTTTAGAGTTGTCTTTAAACCAGCTTTATTCATTTCAATTATACGGGATATATCATCAAAGTACCTATAGAGAAACGGCCCAGTATAGTACATCTGACGTCGAGCAAATATTGAATTATAATTTGGGACTTTCGTACGATATCGCCTCTTATGTTTAGGAAGTTGGGATGGGTCTATCGTTTTATGATGCCGAAGGATAGTATTATAAATAAATAACTGCCTAACAGTTAGTAAATTAGCCTCCTGGTATAACTGGCGTGTCGGATATTTCCTGGGTTTACCTAGCATGACTTTGAGAACAGCTCTCTGTGCTCTTTCAATCTCCAAAAGATGGGTTTTAGCAGCACCACCCCAAACCGGAATACAATAGGTTAGTAGGGATTGACAAAGAGAAAAATAGATTTTTATAATAAGCGTTGGGTCAGCTGCTTCACGAAGGTTTTTAAAAATGTGAAGCAATTTTCGTACTCTTTTGCTTAGGGATGAGATATGAGGTGCCCAATTGAAATTTTTATCAATTATGATACCCAGATATTTGTGAGTATTAGTTTCAATTAAATAGGGACAATCACAAGGGGGGTCAATAGTATCGGAGAAACACGTTTTAAAGTGGGCTTTTACGTTAAAATTAATGGGAGGTTTAGTAGCACTAGAGATTCTAAAGCATATGAATTTTGTTTTAGGTACATTGATGGTTAGAAGATTGTTGTCTAACCACCCTATAACCTTTTTAAGACCTCGTTCAGCAAATTTCCGGACTAGAGACCAAGTTTTACCGTGAAAGATTAGGGCGGTATCGTCTGCAAAAGCCAGCGTGTTACCGTTGTCCATTCTGATTTTGCAAAGGTTGTTGACGTAGGCCAGAAACAGGGTAGGGCCAAGCGTGCTACCTTGCGGAATACCATAGTTGTTAGGGGAGCTAGAACTAACAACTGTGGAAACTTTGACTACTTGACTTCTATTTGATAGGTAGTCACGAAACCAATCGAGTGCCGTCCCTCGTATACCAAACTGTTCTAGTTTAAGTAAGAGTAGTGGAATAGAAACAGTGTCGAAAGCTTTTTTAAGGTCCAGAAATATAGCTAGGCATCTTTCACCGCTGTCCAAAGCCTTGGTAACCTCTTCTGAGAGTTTAGCCACTGCATCCTCAGTATTTCTTCCTGTGCGAAATCCATATTGGTTATCAGATAGCAATTGCTTACTCTCTAAGAACTTAGTAAGACGAATATTTACTACTTTTTCTATAATTTTACTGATTGTGCTAAGTAAAGAAATAGGCCTATAATTCGACACAGTCTCTACACCACCACCCTTATAGACAGGGACAACCACAGCCTGTTTGAAAATTGCTGGAAATGTTCCAGTGGAGATACTTAAGTTGCACAGGTGGGCTATCATTGAGCATAAAATTTTGTTGGAATTTTTAATGATAACGGTAGGGATAGAGTCTATTCCTGGAGCACTATTAGATTTGAGGCTAAGAATTATTTTATCAATTTCAATATAATCTGTCGGATACATATAGAACGAGTGCACATTCCCCGATGAAGGTGTATTCTCTAACAAATTAGGCTCGTCCATGTTATGTTTATTTAATATGTCTGCTGCAAGTTGTTCTCCAATGGATGTAAAATAATTATTTACTACTTCAAGAGAGCTCTTTGGCGACGGTAGCAGAGTTAGTAATGCAGCTGCTGGAGTCTGCTTAGTTTTAATGTTACATAATTCTTTTACGGTTTCCCAAGTACGTTTATTATTTTTATAATTTTCACTAAACTTTTTCATGTAGTAACTATTTTTTAAATATTTTACTGTCTTGTTGCAAATATTGCGATATTTTATATAAAATGATTTTAATTCCATATCATCTGGATTCTTTCTAACTAACGAGTGGATACGATCTCTTTTCTGAAAACATTTTGTGACACCTATAGTTATCCACGGTTTTAATGGCTGTTTCTTTTTAGTGAAAGTAACTTTTTCAGAGTTTATGGCTATTAGTTCTTGTAATGATTCGATTAGTGTCTGAGCGGCTAAGTCTGGATTGTTAATTGTTAGAAAAGGATTCCAGTCTTTTGTTTCTATTGCCGATTTCAAAGCTTGGTAGTTAATTCTTGATCTAGTAAATGAGGTAACAGTTTCTGAATTTTGCGCAAGACTGGATGAAACAGATAAAAACACTGCAAAATGATCCGTGATATCTGACGTAAGCACGTAGCTTTGAAAAGATCCCACTAGTTTACACATAATGTGGTCGAGGCAGGTTTCTCCATGCGTAGGTATATCTATGGAATTTTGCAAACCATGGGATCCTAAAATTTCTAGGTATTCTCTTACATTATGACTATTGGTGTTTAAGGTATCGATATTTATGTCACCAGTTATGATGATGTTTCGAGATCTCGTGATGGTTAGAAGAGAATCAAGTGAGTCAAGAAAACTAGTTGGGTTTTTAAAACAGTTAGGTCGGTAGATTCCAAATATAGTAGTATTATCAATCTTAGCAGCCAGGCAGTTAGCTTCGTTCAGTTCAATTTCTTGAACAGTGGCCACTATAGAATCATTGATGTACATAATTACGCCGTCATTCTGATTAAAGCTTTTTTTAATAAAATGCATAGTGAAACCGTCAATTAATGGGGGGACCGAACTTTCATCACACCAGCACTCAGATAAAACAATAATATGTATTTTAGTTTTTAACTTTGTTAAGAATATTAAAAAGTTGTCAAGATTTTTGTTAACACTTCTTATGTTAAAAGATATAATATTGAATTGATTTTTATTGTTTATTAACTGGTTTACAAGGTCGCCGCTGGGATTTTCAATGAGTTTACAATCAGGAGTACATGATTTTTCGATTTCTTCAAAAAGATTTTCGCTATCCATATTTAGTTATTATTGTGAGTTTAGTCTCAGTGAAATGCAGGTACCAAATAATGTTCAAGAGTAATAATTTCAAGTATGTAGTAATTTGAGCAATAAGTTTATTATAGAGGCATTGAAGTTTATATGTAATTGATATCGATTTTGGACAGTATTGTGAAATTGGCGGTGACTGCTGATATTTACGAATGAATATTGTGTGTTTAAATAATATAAAGTTAAAATGGCAATTTATTTTTTGACGATCAGATCTAACAATAGGCCTGGGAGATTCCTGTATGGCTTTGATATAGGTTAATATAATTTTAATATAGTAAAAGATCTTAACTAGTCACTTATTTCCTAGAATCTGTAATTGAGCTTCGTTTTTAATCAATATGTAGGGTTCTCCCTGTTTTTTCCGTAGATACACTAGCCCGTTTGAGGTCCAACAATAATCATATCCCATAGTTTTGCGGAACTCTCGGGCGAGGTAGAACAAGCGAGAACAGATTGGGGTTAGGTGCTCTGATAGGTATATTTCCGATTTAGGTGCTTCTATGCCTAGGTGTGTTGAATTAAGTTGCTCAGTCTTGAATTTTATTGAAGAGGACTTAAAGTCTTTAGCAGCACTCAAAAAGTAACTCCTTGTAAGTGTAGACGAAAACTCAGCTACTATAGTTGTGTTCACTTGATCTGGTTTACTTGGCAAACGATAGATGTCACGAACGTCCGAAGTTCCCATATTGATTCCCAGAGAGGTTGATAATTTGTTTATCATTTCGAATAGTTTTTCTTTAGATTCAGCCTTTTGTCTTGGAACATTTCTTATTTGTATACTAGTCTTTCGTGCCAGTCTATCCAACGTATCGCATTTCGTTTCAATTGTTGTTATCTGTGCAGAGATATCATTGCGGTCCTTCTCCAGACAGTTTATAGTGTGTTGAACTTCCTCCATTTTGGCAGCAACAAATTCTATCGACTTCTCAATATCGATATTTTTCTTGAGGTTCGTATCGTTTTGGATTTTAATTTCTGAAATGTGTTTTTCGATTGCATCCATACGCAAATTTTGCTGAATTTGCAGGGTTTTTAATATTTCACTTAGTTCCTCGCGAATGATGGTCCGTATGTCTAATGGTTCAGAACTTTTTGGGCTTACTACATCATCAGTAACTCGGCGCCGCTTTTTTTCACGTTGGATGTTATGCACGCTTTCGCCTGAAGAGCATGTTGGTTTATCTCCAACTTTTTCAGTATCCAAATCTGTCATACTTAGAGATTTATTCAGTGGTGGAGAGCGCGCCAGATTTGGCATTTTAAGAGTTATAGCGCAAAAAGTTAAAAAAAGAAGAAACGAGAAAAAAACGCAATTATTTCAAATACCTAGTGTGGAACCCGTCGGAATTAAATCGGCTTTTCTGCCGCTCGTGCACCGCTCCAAAGTTCGATACGATCTATGTACGTACTGGGAATACTCTGTGCAGTCGTGTGCTACAAAGCGTAGTTGTCGTAGCAGGCGTAGCAGCGTCGTAGCCGTGTCGGCGCTCGTAGAGTAGAGGACGTACCTCACAGATCTTGTCTCTTTCATCGACGCCGGTCACTCACTGCTTCTTACGTTATGCGCGCCTGGTACTTAACGGAATATTTATTCACAATTTACTCACTTAATTTTACTTTTTTAAATAAAATTATGAATTTAAACTAACGCAGGATTGACGACTGTTCACTTTCGTGATCCAGGGGGGAGAGGATGATGATGGTAAGTGATCACCGTCGCCCATGGACACTTGCAACACCAGGAGTATCACAAATGCGATGCCGGCCTTTAAGGAAGAAGTACGCTCTTTTCTTGAAGGCTTTTGGGTCGTATCGGTCCGTAAACACTGCTGGCGACAACATATTCCACAGTTTTGTCGTACGTGGTAAAAAATTTCGACAAAAACGCACGGTTGTGGATAGCCACGCATCAAGATGATGGGGATGAAATTTTTGTCGCGATGTACGATGGCGAAATGCAGCAGCTGGAATTAATCCGAACAATTCCTCAGAACACTCCCCGTGATAAATGCGATAGAAGATGCAGAGCGAAGCTACGACGACTCCATGTGAGGCCGAACCTGTGCCTTATAAAGCTGCAGTCGGTGGGCCGGTGTGAAGTACATTCTCGATCTATTGAGCACACCAAGCTTCTTAGAGGCCAATTTGGCCGTGCCCTCTAAATGATCCCGAAACTGGACGTCGCCCGATATGTCAACGCCAAGAATTCCAATACTAGCTGAGGCAGTTAGAGGAGTGTTCTCAAAAAGAGGAGATACGACAAATGGTATTTTTTTTTGCGGTGAACGCGCATACTTGTGTCTTTAGGATTAAATTGGACTAAATTAAGTCGGCCCCAATTCGTTACTCGGTTTAACAAAGTTTCGATTTTAGACACAAGTTTGTTCCGGCACTCGATGACATTTTCCCGTGAAATGTTGGCGCGGCCGGTATATAGGGCATCATCCGTGCTGTCATCTGTATAACAATGAATGCCATCAATTTGAAGCATATCATTGATATGAAGAAGAAACAGCGTAGGCGATAGCACACAGCCTTGTGGAACACCAGCGTTTACGGATTTGGAGTCCGAGCATGCACCGTCGACTGCGACCTTGATGCTCCTGTCCGCAAGAAAGCTAGTGATCCAACCGCACAGCTTTTCAGGAAGCCCATAAGAGGGAAGCTTCGAAAGAAGAAGCGCTTTGTGCCAAACCCGATCGAAGGCCTTCGCGATATCCAGACCGACCGCCAATGCTTCCCCCTTGGTCTCGATCGCCTTTGCCCAACGATGAGTTAGGTATACTAGTAGATCACCAGCCGAGCTACTCTGACGGAAACCGTACTGGTGGTCACTGATCAGCTGGTGGTCCTCTAGGTACCGCAGGAGCTGGCAATTTATAATAGACTCCATTATCTTGGAGAACAAGGAGGTGATGGCTATAGGCCTATAATTAGTAGGGAGTGAGCGGTCGCCTTTTTTAGGAATCGGGTGCACTAAAGCTGTCTTCCATGAGTTCGGAACGACACCTAAAGAGTAGGAAAGCCGGAAAAGACGCGTTAGTACCGGAGCCAACTCAGGAGCACACGTTTTCAGCACAATTGGTGAGATTCCATCAGACCCGCTCGACTTCTGGATGACAAGAGAAAAGAGTGCTTTACGCACTAAGCTTTGTGTGAACCGGATCGCATAGAGCTCTCACACCGCGGGATGGTCGGCGGTATGTATCCCCTGTCATTTAAAGTCGAGTTAGACGCAAAGAGTGAGCATAAAAGATCCGCTTTCTCTTTTGCAGTATGGGCCATCGATTCGTCGCCGTCGTCGTAGTCACGTCACGTCGTAGGGGTGGAAGGGATGGCTTACAAAAATTTCCTTCAACAGCTTTGGCAAGAGACCAAAACGCGCGTGTTACAAAAGGAAATTTTATTAATCTCTCTCCAATGCTGCTAATGTGCTCTGACTTCGCTCTGCTGACTTATAGTGCCACACACGACGACAGTCAGCCATTCGGAGTGGTGGGCATTGAAATCACCAAGGATCACAATTTCTGATGATGGGATCTGCTGAAGCACGGAGTCTGTAGCCACCTGGACGTGATCAAAGAGTCGGTCAGTTTCGTCATTTCCGCTATGGGACCTGTAGAGGCAGGCGTAGACGCGGGGATGGTCATCGACGTCTACACGTAACCATAAGATGGAGAGGTCCCTACCTTCAAAGTTGCTGAGGCGACGGAAACTGATACCCTCTTTAACGTACACATATACCCCAGCCTGTGGTACAAAGGAATGTTCCAAAGTATACCCAGGGTACTGGAGGTAGGAGGTGTCGGCTGGAGAGGATATCTGCGTCTCAGTCAAAAAAGCAAGGCCGGCTGCACTGTCTGAAGGTGGTAGTGAACAGCATTAAGGTTGGAGTGTAAGCCCCTGATATTGCAGAAATCCACGTTAAACATGGCAGGGGGTGACGTATGACGCTTGCTCTGGCCTCGAGCAGTTTCAGTAATGAGCGCGGTTTCGCCCTCCCCAGAATACGAAGGGCAGCCTCGACGTCCACGTCCAGATGGAGACAGTTCTGGGCATGGACGTCCAGAGGGGGATTCTCCAGCATGAAAACAGCTGGTACCCCCCTGGGGTATTATCCTATTTATTCTATCATTCTCTATACAGAAAAAAACGAGAGACTGATGTTAAATTAAGTTTAGAGAATCGTGCATACCAGAGTCTACACCTATGTATGTATTGTTGATAATTTTTATGTAGCTATTTACCTGCATCGATATAATACTTTATACATATATTATTATATTTCAATGTCGAAAGAAAGATTTTGTTTAGTTAAGTTATAGATCGTGAATGATTGAATATTTGTTTTTTTATAAAATCTATCCATGTATATTTGTTTTATAAAATTGCTGTTCATATTGGCGGATGCACTTAATTAAATCTTGTTGAAAATTTTACAGTGATAAAAATACCATTCATTCACTTTTCGTCACATCACTATGAATTTCTGCCTTTCTTTGTCATTCATTAGTAATTCCGCGCCTTTTTTTTTAATTGAATTTTATACCAGAATACCAACTTTTTAGTAATTAAAAATTCTTGTATATATAATAGGAAACACTATGTTTCAGCAGGATTGAAGTGGCAGATCGGATTTTGTATGAGAAAACAACATCATTTTCCATTTTTGCAAGAGCTTTGACTTGCGACACGGAACGATTCAAAATGGTAGCGCGTGAACTAGTTTTTCTTAAACGCACTAGATCAATGGGCTTGTTTTAAAACCAATAATCTTTTGACAGAGGGGAAAAGCCTGTAATGGGGTCTTCTTCTTCTTCTTTTTCTTTTTTTATGGCATGCACGGTTTGTGCGTTCAGCCAATGTCAAGTAAAAATTGGGGAAACATTATAGGAAAAAAGGAATCGGAAATATTACGAAATTTGGAAAGGATCAGGATTGTAGAAAATATACATATTTACATTTAAAGTTTAATATTATTGAGCAAAAGGAAAGATATAATACATTTATACACAGATAGGTCATTAGTATGTAGAAGTGTAGCTATATTGGTCGGGAATGGTATTTGAAGTGATGTTAAGTCATTGAAAAGTAAGGATCTATGGAACAGAGGACAGGTAAACACAATGTGATCAACATTTCCCTCATCTAACCCGCAGTCACACCTAGGATTATTTATTATATTGAGTTTGGCAAGATGGGAAGGCACAGACGAATGGCCCAGTCTCATTCTGTTAATCATGGACGTCTCCGTCTTACCAAACTTCATATTGAAAAACCAAGGTTTAGAAGGAATGTCAGCCTGAATTGCAGCATAAAATTTACCTCTTGTTAGTTTACTATATTTCCACATTTGTTCCCATCCTTCATGCAATACAGATTTAGGAATAGCTAATAAATCTAAACAATAATTCTGGAACGGAAAAACATCGCCACATGATTTAGCATCTCTTGCCAGTCTGTCAGCTAATTCATTTCCAGCTATGCCGATATGGGCAGGAATCCACGCAAATTCTATATTCTGACCATTTTTGATACATTCCTGTGTCATTTGTCTAATATTAAAAATGATAGGGGAATAATTTTTCAATTTAAATGGGAACTTTTCTAGTGATTGTAAGGCACTTTTTGAATCTGAAAATATTACAGCAGATTTAAGTTTCATGATTTTAATGTATTCAACTGCTTTAAAAATACCAAAACATTCTCCTGAATAAACCGACGATTCTGGAGGAAGTTTAACTTTTTGCACAATATTATACTGAGAATGATAAACTCCTATCCCAACACACGTAGTCGATAAATGTTTAGAAGCATCGCAAAATATATGGTGGTAATAATTAAATACAGTATTAATAATATGAGAAAATTTTAATTTAGCATTCAAATCATATTTGTCTACTAAATCATAATGCACGACAGGAGAATAAGTTAAAGCTTCAAACGGAACATTAAACATAGGAAGGAAATTAGAACTGTATGTGGGGGCAGAAAGTGAAGCAAATCTTCTATAACTAATTAAAAGACATGGTAGAGATTTATTGGCGCAATAACTAGAAGTTTGAATTTTTTCATTGAGTACTATAAGTAAAGAAAGCAATGGATGATTAGAAAATTGCATTGTACGAACAAAGAACTTGTCGCAGATGAATTGCCGTCGCAATACTAAAGGAGGTTCACAGCATTCTACTTGCATAGAGTTTATTGGACTCGACTTCATAGCTCCTAATATTATTCGAAGGGCTTTACTCTGAATTTTATCTAGTTTATTAAAGGCTGTTATATTTCCTGGTTCTAGCAAAAAGGAGCCATAATCTAAAATGCTTCTTATTAGAGCATTATAGATCAATTTCAAAGAATACGAGTGAGCACCCCACCAAACTCCTGACAGGCACCTTAGCATGTTCAATAAGCGTTCACATTTGTTAACAACGTATTCGCAATGGCGATTGCCAGTAAGCTTAGAATCTAAGACGACGCCCAAAAATTTGACGTGGTCCGCAACTGGAATTAGAGT